ATTTTGTTTCACAGACTACCCCACGTTTAATTTGAAAAATGGTACCTGATCAAGCAGAAGCACATGAGCTAAGACTAGACGAGGTTATGTGAGAAGGAAGTTGCATAACCTGGCTCCCCACAAGCTATATGTCTGGATAGTGGAGCATCAGTTATGCCTGCAGACAGCACAGAGCATTTCAGCATTATCACAGGCGGGTGAAAGCATTAATCCAAAATAGTCAAAATAATTAAAACTCAAAAATAGAAATATAAAAAGGTATAGATAACCTTATATTGAAAAAATATACATAAAAGGTTTAAAGAAAATGTAATATTATAAAAAATGAATCAACTCAAAATCTAAATTTAGAGGCAAATTCCTTTATATCCTAAGTTCAGAGGAATTCCAATATTTGGATATAGAAACTTATAAAAAAATATGTTTTTTATACCCTCCCCAAAATCCACAAGACTTTACCGGAACCCCCATGGAGACCTATAGTGGAAGGAGTTGGCTCTCTTTATAGTCGCCTCTCGGAGTATGTGGATAAGTTATTACAACTCCACCCAATTTATTAGGGAGCTGATGTCGGGAGTTTGTACACCATCATCTCACACCGTTATGGTTGTGAGGTGGTTGAGTATTTCCTTAGACAGAGCAATTTACCAGATATTCAAATCAATTTTATTTTAGAGTGTATAAAATTAATTTAAAATAATATTTACTTTTGGTTCAAGGGCTCCTACTTCCTGCAGATGGTTGGTAATGCGATGGGAACCAGGTTCGCACCCAGTTACACTAACCTATGTATGTCTCAGTAGGAGGAATCTTTCCTCTCAAGGCAAGGTGATTGGTGTGGGAGCTTGTTCCTCTATCGTTAATTTATCGACAACATATTTTTCATCTGGAAGGGAGATTTCCTTGAATATTTTTTATCTTTCTTAAATAACAATCAGACAAATATTGTCATTACGAGTGAATATAGTAAAACCAGTGTCCATTTTGTAGATTTTGAGATATATATAGATAATTTTATTATTAAAAGCAAAATCTTTTTCAAAAAAATAGTATTATTGACACCACCAGTTGCCACTATGGACCATTGTTAAATAATGTACCTAAGGGACAATTTATGCATATTTTAAGAAATTGTAGTGATAATCAGGAATTTGACAAACAAGCTAATTTTTTAAAACAACAACTTTTAGTGAAAAATTATGATTCTAATATTTTAAATCAACAATTAAAGGAGGTTAAACTCTTAAAGAGGGACCAAATTTTAAGTAAACAGAAAATTATTTTAAAAGATATAAGTAATAATAAGTTCAATTATAAGGGCACTCCAATTATTTTAGATTTTAATAATAAGTCGTAACATATTCAACATGTTTTTGTTTTTAAATTGGCATATTTTAAAAGCAGATAATGATAGTTACATAGTTATATAGCTGAAAAGAGACTTGCATCCATCATGTTCAGCCTTGATCTTGCGGATATAATTAAAGACAGACCAAACATTATATATATATATATATATAACTAAATTATTTTTCAAGCTCCTGGCCCACAGTATATATATATATATATATATATATATATATATATATATATATATATATATACAGGGCCAGACTGGGGATACAAAGCAGCCCTGGAAAAAAAATTTGTGCCAGCCCCATAAGTCACTGCGCCATATATTGTCGCGTGTAATATGTAAGGCTATGTCTTGCCAGGACAGATGATTGAGTAATATATATATATATATATATATATGTATATATATATATATTGCTTTTTCTAATATAAAATATTGGTCCTTTCAGGGTAAAACGTTTAATTTTATCACATGACAGGAGGCTTCATATTTTGCATAACTTTCTTTACTTTATGCCTCCAGCAGCACAAGTCAATCAATAAACTTTAAACCAATCAGTAACAGGCATCACATTCATATATAAAGCCCTGACAGTCACATGACCTCCTCTTTCTTTGCTGCTTACCAGCCAAGGCACAGGTCAGAGTATTTTGCTCCAAACTGTTTTACTGAATATTGCAATTGTCATTAGTTAATCATTTATTGCTTAACTTTCAGTTTGTTCCAAACTGTTTTTATTAATATTGCTATGGTCACTGTAGTTAGACACCTTATGCTAGACATTCAGTTTTAATCCTAACTGTTTTTTCTGGATACCACTTTAATTAAACTTTATTAATTGACTTTCAGTTTGCTCCAACTGTTTTTATTAATATTGCTATGGTCACTTTAGTTAGATTTTTAATGCTAGACATTCAGTTTTTGCTCCAAACTGTTTCTGGATATGCATGGGCACTTTTGTTAAACTTTATTAGCTTGTCCTGCAATTTTGGCCTAAACGTTTTTCATTATTTTGCACTTGCCTTCCATTTGGATTTGTATAGTGTGATATTCTCCCCCTGTTACCCTTCCCCTGAATTAACCCTGTATTTTCTGCTTTATTAGCCTGTTTTCTGTTGCTGGCACCTTTTCTTTCCTATGCTTTACTCTGGTCTCGCATGGATCGCGGCGTTTTACCGCGAGCACGCTTTTTATTCATTGGTGCTGGGACTTCAGGGCAGGTCTCTGGGGGTTGGGGATGTCGGGGGGACTCTTTTCCATGCCGGCAGACCGCGATCGTATCCTCGATCGTGGGCCGCACGGCACTTTTGCGCGCGAACGGCGGCCATCTTGAATCTCGCGGCACTCGCGAGATTCACGTCGGCCATGTCGTTTGGCCAGTTCGTGATTCCCACGAACTGGCGGCTAGTTCTGTACTGTTTCATATATTTTTCCTGTGAAATAAAAGTTTTACAAGTACTTTTGAGCTCAATACTGTTCATGGGCATGTGGAATAAAGGTTTTATATGTACCTTTCCTGGAAGATTATGAATGGACTGTTCACTGCTGAGCTCTATACTGGCATATTTCATTGGCATGTGAAATAAAAGTTTTATATGTAACTCTGCATGAATATGTAGGACTGATCCCTGCTGTGTGCATCTGCTGACAGTTTGCTCTATTCTGTTCTATACAATTGACATGTTGAATAACAGTTTTATTGTACATCTGGAGGATTATGAATGGACTGTCCCCTGCTGTGGGTATATAGTGGATGCATTACTCTATCTACTGGCAGGGAAATTAAATAGAGCTGATATCTTACTCCGCTCCCTACTCCCACTGGACCTCACAACCATTGGATACACTCCTTCCCCACAGGGATACACCTCCCAGGACACAGTAGTGGAGGCACATAACGGAGTGATTAACAGGGGTGATCCCCCTTACGCTGGGTGACCCCCAAGCGTGGCAGACACCTCTCCAAAGTGACATTGTGGTACAGGGGTGACCCCCCTTACGCTGGGTGACCCCCAAGCGAATCTGGTTCCTGTCCTAGTGACATACATATACTGGGGTGATCCCCCTACTCTGGGTGAACCCCAAGCGAATATTATTCCGGTACTAGTGACATACATATACTGGGGGGAACCCCCACGCCCTAGGGCGGGCTCATTTCCACGGAGTACGATCTGTTACTGTATGCACAGACCGGGTCACACTGAATACATGTATATCGACAGAGCCAGGAAGGAGAGCTCATGGTGCTGCCAATTCTCCACAGTACTATATCCTATAAGGGTGACCCCTTGGATAATTTGGAGGCTACCATACCTCCCCATACACGGGCTACGTCCCGACATTACTGACCGCTCATCCCGGTCTTATTGAGGGTGACCCCCTCCTCAGACCACTCCCAGGAAATCTCTAAGTGGTACTGATTGAAACAATTCTGGGTGACCCCCAGTTGTACGTGGAGGCCCACTAAGTGGCAATAAGTGTACTACCGTACCTGACACCTGTTCGGTACCCCATAGACCGAAAGAGTGTCCCAACATGCCATAAGAGACATTCATACAGGGGTGACCCCCCTATGCTGGGTGAACCCCAAGCGAGTCTTACTCCGGTGCTAGTGGCATAGGTACAAAGGGGTGACCCCCCGCACCCTTTCTAGGGCTTCTACCTTCAGAGTACGCTCTGTCATTGTATGCACAGACCAGGGCGCACTAGATGCATGTATTCTGGCACCTCTATGCTTCAACTGGGGTTCCGTACGCCCTTCCCTTAACCGAGAAGGAGAACTCACAGTGCTGCCAAAACTCCACAATTCTAGACCATATAAGGATGAACCCCGTGGACTATATATATTGAGGCTTTCACGTCTCCCAGACTCGGGCTACGTCCCGACATTGCAGACCGCTCATCCCGGTCTTACTGAGGGTGTCCTCATTCTCAGACCACTCCCCGGATCCTGCGAAAATGATACTGATTGATCAAAATTCTGGGTGACCCCCAGTTATACGCGGAGGCCTACTGAGTGGCAATAAGTGTACTGTTGTACGATCCTGTCTCCCACGGACCGAAAGGGTGTGAACCAACATGTCGAACTTACCTCAATATCCCCGACCGATTTTCAGGCGAGGATTAAGGCTGCCATGACAGCTCCGGGGGAAGAAGTCCTCTCCAGTATGCTGGCTAACAACCCATCCGACAGAGCGGGTGCAACGGCAGCAACACCAATGGAAGATTGAGATACCGACGTTAGGTCGGACACCCATCATCAGGGGACGAGGACTTCATCCTCCCCCCCCTTCTCTGGAGATCATGAAAGAATGGAGGGCAGAAGAGGTAAAAGTGACAAGACACGCCTAGCAAGAAAGGTTTTTTCTTTGGCACACTGGACACTCCTGTTTTGACTCACGCACCATCCGACAACCAGGGTCATCCGAATGGGGTTAACTGGAGCACCGGGCCCACTTCTGGCTTAGGAGGCCTATGGGAAAAGAAATCCGAGACCGGCTCAGGATGGAATGCCCACGCCCTCTATGTCCGAACAAGATAGTCCTCACTATGGAGCTCGTGGTGATATGTATGTCCCGATCAGTGTGTAGGAGGAGGACTCAAAATGAGTTAAATACTGGATATGATCAGCCCGGGAAAAAATTCTATACTTTGCGGACCTGACCCCACACAAGACTCACCTCTAGAAGCTCACGATGTGAGGGAATGGGTGCAAAGGGCAATATGTAAGTTGGGGAACGCAAGGCAGACAGGTGCACAGAACGCCGCAAAGCAGCCCGATTAAAGATGGATTTCAAACTATTGAAGTTAGGGACGAAAGAGCGAGGACCTCAGGCAGACGGACTATCGTTTGGAGAACCATTTATCTCAGCAACGGTTTGGTAGTAAGGAAGAAGATAGGAGACTATCACCCAGTCATCAACCTATGCCAACCCAATGGTTTTGGGGCGTACCGACAACTCAAGAAGGAAGGTATCCATCTCTTAGGGGATCTACAAGGTTGGACTTGAAGGGCACTTACCTATAGGTTCACATGGTGCCTCATGAAGTTTCTGAAGTTGGTCACTGCGCGCTGAAAAGCAAAGGGTATCTGCTGTCACATACCTAGACGACTTACCTTTTGCAAATCCAATTCATGACTACGTTTACAAACGAGATTTATGTTTACAGTTTCGGGAATTGTTGGGATTCATAGTGAACAGAGAGGAGTTGGTTCGATCCCAGTTCCGAGTGATTCAGTTCCTCTATTTCAGAATAGATTCCACCTTGAGCGGATTACACCTTCCCACATCATTGATAGCGACGATTCGTAAGGAAATTCGACGGGTACGGCGGAAAGGCACCATAACCCTTTGACTATTTCCCAGGACTGCTTCACTACCAGGCCAGACAGTGGCTGAAATCTCACTGCCTGAGATACGGACACACCTATGAAATTGGGATCAGAATAGCGAAGACTTCGATAGTACTCATTACTGCGGTAAAGGAGGCAAGCGTGACACCCAGAAGGGTTGTCCTTAATCAGGATCATCCTCTGCTCCTTCCGTTTTAACTTGCCTTCGGGCGGATCCAAAAGGAGAACATCATCCATTGAGAATGCAGGAGCATCTGGAGTTGGTAGATTGGTGTCTTCCAGGGGAGACTGGTATGTCAAGGGACTATCGCAACCAACTAGAGACCTACTATGGGACTCATGGACGCCAGGTATTCCCCCGAAATAACTTATCCGCATGGAACACCTTGAGTTCGCTGGTGTATGGGAAGGGACTGCGATCCCTTTATTACCCCTATCTCCACGATGCTGGATCTTTATCATACCTTTTCACTACAGGCCGATCGGAACGTTCCATTAACGGGCTACGTTCCGCAATTTCGACGATGCATAGCACGATTCACGACACTCCGGTCAATCAAGAGCCTTTGATATGCCATTTTCTGTGGGGTATCAAACCGTCCAGAACCATGCGTCAAAGTATCACTGGTGTGGGACTTTGATTTGGTTCTTTTGGAGCTAGTCAGATATCACGGTCCTATCCCTCAGTCAGCCATTAGCCAGAGTCACGTTACTTTTAGGTCTTTTCGTCGGGTATCAGATGTACTGGAGTTCGACGTAGACGGTCTTTTCGGTATCACCGGAAAGAATAATTTCTACAGTGTCTCGTAGAACTATATCTTATCCGTGTCCGTATCGTTCCCTGTTACCGACGGTTTCCCAGCCTTTGTGCAGTTAAAGGAGATCACGACAACACTTAGAATGTCACATTCAGGACATCTGCTGGTCTTATACCAACCGTACAAGCCAGTTACCATGAACACTCTGTCTAGATGGGTTCATTGGTTGTTATCGCTAGCGAGGGTGGAGACGTGTTTGGGTACTCATTCGGTAAGAGGCGCAGCTGCTTCTCAGGCCTTCACGAGGGGGCCTCTATATTTTCAGCGACGAATTGGACACGGATAGACTACTTCCGTATATTTATTTTCGTCAACCACACACGCATCCTTCACGCTCATACCACAGCTTTAAAAATGCAAAATATGAAGCCTCCTGTCATGTGATAAAATTGTAGATTATGCTAACGTAGTGTACCTATAATCTTAATTTTAATAATGACAGGAGGTGAGTATTTTCCCTCCCTGTTTCCCTCCCTATACTCTGGAAATTTTTTATATTTTGGTTTGTCATTTTCTCAGTGTAAATTATAAGGTTTGGTAATTCAGTATATTTATGGGATGCTTATTTGGTTGATATGTGTTAGATCCGTGTTGATTATTAAGTATACTATGGTTTGTTTAATTTTTCAGTATATTAACTTAATATAAATATAGACACATATAGTACTGGATTTAATGTGGACAACAGTTGGTTTCCATCACCTTTCACGTATTTCTGTTCTTTTCAGCGTAATCATCATAGATGGATTCGACAAGATAAAGCTGGAAGGTTTCAAGTTATGTTCTACACGTTACTCAGGACTGTTATTTGAATTCCCTGACGTTATAATAGACTGTTTTTCGCATCAAAGAAAGAGGAAGTCATGTGACTGTCAGGGCTTTATATATGGATGTGATGCCTGTTACTGATTGGTTTAAAGTTTATTGATTGACTTGTGCTGCTGGAGGCATAAAGTAAAGAAAGTTATGCAAAATACTCGCCTCCTGTCATTATTAAAATTAAGATTATAGGTACACTACGTTAGCATAATCTACAATTATACAGTAAGCATACGCACATGCAGACACAGGCAATTTCACTGACATGTCAGTGACACACACAAGCTCATTGATACACAGCCTCATAGACAAACAATCTTACTGATATACATCAGCTCATTGACTTAACCCCTTAAGGACCAAACTTCTGGAATAAAAGGGAATCGTGACATGTCACACATGTCATGTGTCCTTAAGGGGTTAAAAACACAAGCTCACTCACTAGCAGGCACACGCATGCAAGCAAGCTCACTCATTAGCAGACGCACACACACAGCTTAATGTGGTGGTACTGGTGTCTATAGCATGTCCCTACAGGCTTTTCAACGTAAACACTGACTTTTCAGACAAAAGGCAGTGTTTACATTGCTTCAAAGTGACACTGCTAGTGACAGTCACTCAGACGGTCACTAGAGGTGCTTCCTGTGTTAGTGCCCTCCCGCCCTCACGCTCTGCTGAATGAGACTGGCGCCGGAATATGACGCGCAGCTCCCCCAGCGGCTGCCAGGACAAGTCTGCCAGCGGCCACCAAAAGACCTCCCCAGCGGCCAGGGGAGGGCTGGCAGCCTTAGGCCTGGGGGGCAAAACCAGTCAAGTGGCCCATTGCACCACCAAATCAGTTCACCATCCATGCCCACCTTTTCCTGGTTTTATAACGGATATTGATGTTATGCTAATCAGTAGTTCTTTGCCATACCCGCTTCTTCACGGCTCCAGGCACTGCTTGTTGTGAGTGTGAGCCACTGTAAATTAGGGGCAGAGGGCACTTGCACTGCGGTAAAGACGGGGCTGGGCAGGAGGAGAGTGCAGTGCAATCAGTGCACTCCCCTCCTGTGGGTCACCAGTAGACTGGTGCACCTGCCCAGGATCAGAGCCGGTGCAAGGATTTTTGCCGCCCTAGACAAAATAAAAATTTGCTGCCACCACACGTCACATCACAATGCCCCACCCATATGATCTGCCATATGAACTAACTCCAGTGCTGCACACAGTGTGTGTTTACATTAAAAAGCCTGCAGGGACCAGCTATAGACACCAGAACCACTTCATTAAGCTATAGTGTCCCTTTAATGTGAGGTACATTATAGATTAGTGTCACTAATAATATACTAGATTGCCTACTTACAAGCAGATGAGGATGAGGATGATGATGGGCTGCAGTTTGGCTCCACTGGTCTGGTGTAGAACAGGATCTCTGGAGGCTGTTTGCAGCTGTGGTCACAAAATTCAATGTTCTGGGAGAATTGGAAGCAGCTCCATTTTTTGGGGGCCCCTTACACAGCTCAAGGTCTGGGCCCCAGGGCCTGACAGTGAGTATGCCCATAAGGCCCACTCATAAGTTCCACCACCCATGAGTTCGCTCACAGGGAGTGGAGTGTGTAGGGGATATGTTATGTGTTATTGTAGAGGATCTAATATGTGTGCTTATGGTATGTAGTGTTTAGGGTTACCAGTTTGTGCAGGTGATGCAGTGTGTTTGTGTGTAGTGGAAGCAGTGTGTATTTGTGTATAAGGGATGTATTATGTGTTTCTGGTTGTGTGTAAGGGATGCATTGTGTGAATCTGTGTTTGTATGCATAAAGGATGCAAGGTGTGTGTCTGTATGTGTGTGCATGAGATGCATTGTGTTTCTGTGTGTATGTAAGAAAAGTGTGTGTGTTTGCATGCGTGTGTACGGGTTTGCATTGTCTGTTTCTGTGTATGTGTGCAAAGGATGCATTGTCTTTGTGTGTAAGGGTTGCATTGTGTGTGTGTGTGTAATGGATGCATTGTGTGTTTCTCTGTGTGTAAGGGAAGCATGTTGTGTTTCTGTGTATGCATAGGGATGCATTGTGTGTGTGTGCGCGCGTAGTGTGAAAGAGCTCCCTGTCTTGGCCCCTGTCCTATAGAGCTGCCCCTTCTTCTTATTCCCCCCTCCCCTCTTCTTATTCCCCTCCCTCCCCTCTTCATATTCCCCTCCCTCCCCTCT